TTAATTCTTCTGTTTCTGTTTCTGTTTTTGTTTTATTCTTGCTGAAAGGATTTTCAAACACAGATAACAATACAATCTAATCTGCAAAGGCCCTCGAGATTATTATTTTAAAAATTTTGCACTGTATAACTAGGGAAGTGCATAGGATTTTGCACAAAAAGTGGTCAAATATTGTCACAATTCAACTTTTAAGTAGTTTTGGAATGGGAGTAAATGATTTACGACTTTATTTGTCTCATATATTAGGAATAAAGATATCCGGGAGAAGGTGAGCATGACCCACTTGGATGACAAGCTGCGGGAATTAAGGCTCAGATGGTTCGGGCACGTTCGGAGGAGAAGCCCAGATGCGTCGGTGAGGAGGTATGAGCGGCTAGCTTTCCTGGGCACGAGGAGAGGTAGAGGGCGTGTTGCGGCCAAACGCACACACAAGTATACACGGTCGTCAAGTAAGAAAGTGACTAAAAGTCGGATGTCGAACCCACGAGGACTTGTTATCAACTATTAACTAAATTATACTATCCTAATTATCTAAACAAGAATTAAACCTAGAAGTATTTGACTCTAAGCTAATTAAAATAAAAAGAAAACAAATAGTGAACTTTGAACAAAAGAAGAACAGATTTTTATGTTATTAATGCGATAAAACGATCTAGGGTTATGAGTTATCTAACAATCCTATCGTATTCTTCAATTGAACTGACTAACTAATTCATCTAGTTTATTGGTTGACAAAGTTAATATTGCTCATAAGAATCTGTCGAGTTCTTACTTGCCTATTCAAGCTAACCTAACGCCTATATGTCTATGGAATTAGAACTAACAAGAACACATTTATAATTGCTGTAAATCAACAAGAAAAGCAATCAAGTACATGTCTATCCTAACCGCGAATCCGTTCTCCGATGCCCAGATTCAAGAACTTGCCCTACTCAATTCTATATGCAATCTAGGATTTCCATTTTTGAGTTCAACTCTAGATTCGTAGATAGTATTTAACTGGTGATCAAGCAATCAATTAATTAAGTGTAGGATTGAATAAATAAACTAATATAATAAATCAAGAAATCAAAATCAATATTCGAATAACAATAGTCATGAAATAACCACAACCCTAGAACGTGAAGTTTAGCTCCACATAGACATGGTATCCAAACAAAAAATCATACAAAGAAATATAAAAATTACTAAGTTTGGCGGAAAAAGATGAAATCCAGCCTCCACGGCAGCTCCTTGCTCTCCCTAGGTTGAATCTCCTTCAAAAAGTGAGTTAGATGACCTAAAAGAGGTGTTTTTGGCTTAAATATTGCGTCTAAAAATCGTGGGCCAAAGTTTTGCTTTTCCTTTTCCGAATCAGCTTTACGGATTAATGCTGAGTTGGATGCTTCGCGTCCGCCTCAACTTGAACTTCTCAGCATCGGATGCTGGGTTGGATGCTTCGCATTCACCCGCTGTTCCCTCAACCTTGATGTGCCCAGGTGCGGATGCTAAGGTAGATGCCTTCTCAAGACTTCACTACTAAGGGTGCTCCAAATAACCTTTTTTCTAAGGTAGGATGTGACACATCCATCCTCTTCTCCGATAGCGGAGCATCTTTTATTCATATTTTTGCACTCCAAACATCCTAAATCATTACATACAACTTAATTAGTTGTAAAACCAATAATTAACATATGTTGGGCATTTTTAATATCAAATACCACCAAAAAGCGATTGAAACATGAGTAGAATAACATTAAAACATATAGAAATATGCCCAACATCACCACCACACACTTAAACCTTTGTTCGTCCTCGAACAAACCATCACTATAGTAGACGAGTTAAAATTAAGCTCCTATCATTCAAAGCACACCACACCTATGACCATGGTTGATTGCAACAATTAAACTCTAGCATATGCATTCAACACATACTTCCCTTTAACTTATGCCCTATTTCAAAAATATTCAAAACAAAATCAACATGCTCTTAACAATCCTAGCTTCAAAACCCGTCTCAATGTCACAATGCACTCATGGCTTGAACATCCAACATCATAGAGAAGTCTAAATAACGTAACTTATCCCTCGTGAAACGATGTGCCCCACAACAAAATCAAGGAGAGTTAGTTGAATCCACACATTTGAATCTTATGATCAAATATAATTTAAGGACCTCACATATATCAAAGAAATCGCTCACTCTCCCATAGAAGTCACACGCACGCAATTGGTACCATAGGCTTTCCCATAATGTATTACTAATGTAGGCTCGCTCGATCTAATATCAATTAGGACTTTTTTATGGTTGTAATGTGAGCTAAGGGACGGGTAGGATATATTTTAGGAATAGTGGCTAACCCTCCCAAGCACTTTAACACATCACATGATAAACGTTAAGCGCATTTTCTTCAACACCACTTCAGTTTCACAAACAAGATCACACCCCAAAAATGTTCCCTCTTTCTTTAAGCACTACCTTAATTTACATCCCACTAGCAAGAAAAAGACCATAATTTATTCATTTATATTTTGTTCTTTTTTTTTTTCAACTATTCTTTTCTTCTATTTTTAATTTTCGCTAGTGGTGTATTATTTTATAAAATAAGTGCACCTTTCTGCCTTTCATTAGTTCCATTCAAAAGCCAACCAAATCTCCTCTTTACATCTTTTAGCTCTCATTTCACAATTAAATTTCTTTTAGAGGCAAAGGGATCAGAAGGTTCAATTAAGAACAAAGGGGTATAGGTTCGTAATGTGGGTGCCAAATAAAAGGTCTACAGGCTCAAAAGGGTTAACTAGGGGTAGATTTATTTGTGATAAGAAAGTAAGCTCTAATATATCAAAGAAAGCCTAAAATTATTTTTCTAAATCGAGCATCACCTAGAATTTCGCTTCAACTCACATACTGGGCAAGTTCTAAACTCAATTACAATACATGGGTTATCTCACAACACATGGCACATGACTCACTAAGGACGGTCTCATTCCGACTCTCAAATAATGCAAGTATTCACAGAGCCACATGATATTAAGCATTAAGCACAAAGTAAACATAAGTCAAGAAAACGAAAGATAGGCGTCATAAAACATGTTATCCAAATAATCAAGGCATCATGGTCAACTTCAAAATATAGGGAAGATACTACCCATGCTAAAGCTTAAATATGCTACTATCAAGCAAGTCAAGGGTGTCTAGGAATCTCACCTTTCTTCCTTTTATTCCCTAAAGTCTAACATACTCTAAAAATAAAAAAATTTACTACCCGATTTAAAATACTTCCCATGAAAAATAATTGAGGCGCAAAGAAAAATCATGGGGAGTTATTGCTACCTAAGGAAAACTAAAAGACATATTTTTGCATTTTTCTAATTATTATTTTTTGTGTGTTTTTGGTTAGACTTTACTCCCTCAAGAAAACTGTCTAGGAGATCCATCGGCAGGAAAAGTCAAATCTTTTCAACTTTTTTCTTTATTTTTCTGATTTTTTTGAAATTTAAGCTGTTAAAACTAATACTACTATACTACACCATTAATTTTACTAACTATGCAATTAAAAATAAAAAGCTAGCTAACAATAAAAAGATAAGAAACTAACAATATACTATTATAATACTATACAAAGCACAGAGAATCTTTCACCCCACACTTAAAAGAGTGCAGTGTCCCTGATGCACAAATAAAGTAAAAATAACAAGGGTGAACAAGAAGCTCCCTGAAAGGCCAAAGGCAGAAGCAATAGCAACTTATAGGGTAGTCAGACTTCTCCCAAGGATGGTTCTTGTGCGGGTACCTCACACTAGTTTCATCCATCTGGCTCGCTTTTACACACTTCCAGTGACTTTTATTCTATGCTTGTAATCTTGAAAAATAAAAATAACACTACAAAATAATAAATAAAAATAGAAGAAAGCAGTAAAGCTGGGTTGCCTCTCAACAAGCGCCTAATTTAAAGTCACGGCACGACTTGAACTACTTTTTGCCTCCACCTTGAACTTATGAATTGTACCCCTAACAGGGCATCCAGTCTGTGGCTATGCTCCTTTGGTGGGACTACAAAGATAACCAGGCCAAGTAATAAATTTTTCACTCTACACTTCTCGGCCTTTAGATGAGGAATGTAATTTTTTCTCTCTGGAACGACAAATCCAAGAATGTAAGCACCTTGTTCCTCTTCCGTTGACTCCTCCAAAGGCTCAGATGACTCGATTTTCATGTCATCATCCAAACACAATGTCGAAAAATATTTGAATGGGGACCAACACGCCCAAAATCTGGAATTGTATTACAATTTACATCATCATATTTACATGCACTAAAGTCTTCCAATATAACATTATCTACTCCCTCACATGACTCTATAACACTCTTCTCAATATTAGCATCCTCGAGAAAAACATGGTCTAATGATTGATATTCTCGTTTTAGCTCCTCAATTTGGTCTAGAAGAATTCTTTCAACTTCACACAACTCATCATTAATTTGTTGGGCGTTGAACGCATCAACCTTTGCACTCAAATCTGCATCCAAGGTGTTCAAAGCCAAGCCAAACACTACTAGAAATTGAAGCTATGACAACCCTTCAAAAACCGTTGCTATAGATCTGCTAACCGTCCTCATAGGGCTATTGGAATGGATGTTGACTCGTTCCGGGATTCAGCGTTACAATAGGTCTATTGGAACGGTTATTTGCAACGGTTCATAAACCGTCTCCATAGATAGGTATATTGTAACGGTTTTGGATTGCTACCATGCTCTATCTACAGGAACGGTTTATTTTCTATTGGGACGATTATAAACCGTCCTGATAAACTAATACAGCTGATTTTTTTAAGGCTGTTGCAACGGTTTTCATGATATATTGCAACGGTTTCCATGGTATATTGGAACAATTATCAGTACTCTATTGCAACGGATATTATAACATATTGGAACAGTTATTAGGGGCTGCTATTGTTATTTGCTAGGTCTATTGGAACGGTTATATTCTCTGTTGCAACAAATTATAATTTCTGATATTTATGGAAGCAAAATTAGAAATAGTTTCCTATTCTATGAAATTGTTTACACCATATCCAACTAGCATTATCGATGTACAAAAACAAAATATGGATACAATGTTTGGTCAAACAATTCAAAAGTCAAAATAGATGAGTTTGCATACAAAAAGTTCTAAACTAAAATATCCTTAAACATAATAATAAAGCCTAACAACACTCAAGTAAGGTCTACGTCACTGCTTTCATCCGCAATCACTGCACCTACAAAAGATAAATGAGAAATAATTAAATAACATTTTTAGGATAATTGAATCCCAAAGTAATTGAATGACCAATTTGATAATAACTCGAAAATTTTCATTCTCTTTAAATTCTTAAATTTTTCAGCAGAGTTTCCTTTGTAAATATGACTATCCCAAATTTTTTAACCTGCTCAAAACATCATTTGCAAAAACAACTATGCAGAACAAACAAAGAAGAGAAAAGAAACAGAATGAGAAAAGATATCCCACCAAATAACTGAAAGTATTAGTGGTGGGATTTGTGCTAGTTTCATACCCCACCAAATAACTTGACAAGTATATGAAAAGCATGTCAAGCATACATATAAACAAATCTTCTTTCAATGCAACTCTAAGAAGATTTTCTTTTCCAAAGTTTGGTAGATTTAGTATTTCAAGATTCAGGTAATCAGCATAATCTAAGATTTAGCATAATCAAAGATTTACAAAGAAATTAAAGAGTTGAATAAATTAACCAGCCAATGACAATGCAACTTGCAGTTTCTTTGAAGGGCATCAAGGAATCACACATTGTCTGCCATTTACATCAAACACCTCTCAGTGAAGTGACAACACTAGCAATCAATTTAATAGAGGGATATATATAATTTCATCAATAAAAACATTTTAAAAGGATATCAAAGTAATATAAAGATATAGTACTATAATTCACCACTAAACACTTTTAAAAATGATTAGTTCAATTTGCATAAGCTCAGTCTATGACTTATGTGAACCCTCACCGGAAGGAGTATTAGTTAACAGAATACTTCGTCTATAAAACCAACATTTCAATCTCAGGCAGTAAAGTTGCAAAAGCTGGAAAGCTAAAAAGAAAAAACAAGAAAAAGGAGATCCACGAGAAAATGCTCAATCTCCCATATCAATTGGCGAGAGTTACATTTTACCCCTTAGTACACCCATCCAGCAAGAATCTGTATTAGGTCTTTGAACACTGAATGAGTAAAGCAAAAGAAAATATTCGTAAATAAGTTTATCAACTTGGAGATCAACCCTATGATTATGGGAAATGATCAGCAGGGATCTGATGCACTTAACACGGCACGATATTAGAAGTAAGTAATCACGATTTCTAAATATCATGATTAAATTAAACCGTAATATATATCACAGCTATAGTTCTTGGCATCAACAAGTATAATTCTAAACCGAATAAGCTAAAAAATAAGCAATATTAATACCTCGAATGAGTTGACCTTCATTGTTGCTATCAGTGGATGGACGACGAATTGGTTGCAAAGTTGCTCGTTGTGCAGAAGAAACTTCTCCAGGAGAATTATCACCCAATGCCGCTAGAATAATATTAGCATCAATATCAATTCCTGAACGCTGAAGTCGTGCAAGGACATCTGCAACAACTTCTTGACGGATAGTTGCCTTTTGTTCCTCAATTTTCTCCTCTATCCTTTGTATCTTCTCCTCCATTTTTTGTAGAGAATTTGTAGTATTTGAAGAAGATTCAAAACATCCTACCTTCCCTCTCAAAGAAGTTCTTGTAACCCCTCGTCCATACAATCTCAGACGTCCCGGATGTTCAGGCCCCATGACAGATGCAAATGCATCAACGGACTCATTGCCATTTTCATTTTGTTGGGCTTCAATTGCCACCATTTCAGCCTTCAAAGCAAATTCAAACAAATAGAACAAGTAAATAAAAAGTATACTAATAAAAACAAATAATTGATCTCTATATAACATCAGTTAAATATATTCACACAATTTTACTAGTTGTATCATCATCCGAGCACTTGTATGATCGCCCAACTTTCCTTTTTCTTGTAGCTACAAAGACTTCTTTTGCCGATAAATGATCCGAAGTTTCCTTCTCGTTTTCCTAGTTACATAGTTACATGAAAGTGAGTTAGAATTCGTGGTGATCTACCATGTACTAAACAAGAGCAGAAATTGAGAAATTTTTTGCCATTATTTGCTAGTTACACACCAACTTAGAGCGCACTAAAGCAAAACTTCTTTTTCCAGCAGTGTGAGGATTCTTCAACTTTTTTTGGTTCTCAATATTAATTTGGGACATTCTCTGCAAGAAGAAAGAAACATCAAACAACAACTTACAATTCTGAATCAAAATTGGGACATTAATGCAAAAGAATGTGATTGACTGATTCTACTTTTTCCTTTACAAAAATCACACGTTGACTGATTCTGCTTTTCCCTTCACAAAATCACATGTTCTGCACAAGTTGTAACTTCTTTTCTGCAAATTATCCTAGGTTAAGCATGTGTTGTTTACAACAGTCCATCAAGCCAAGCCACTTTTGGTGGTGTTTTTATTTTCCACATTGTCCTCTAAGCCTATTTGCACCTGTTTCCAACCTGTCCTCTTAGCGGTAAGTTATACAGTCATCTTAGTTCTTAGTAAAAACTAACTTGGCTTTGCAGGCATTATTTGTTTTTTTGGGGCAGTTGTAATTTATGGCTATGAACCATCTAAAAGCTGGTGCAATTGTTCCTACTCCTATTGCCACAGTCTGAGTTACAAGAATCAAGGTTGTGGACCACTTGTATTCAGAGTCTCCATTACAAAAGTTGAAGCTCCAATGAAGAAAGTAAGAAGCAAAACAAATGGTATAGGCAATGGTCCAGAATTTCATCAGCTCGTCCTTCAGTAGCAGAAGCAAAACAAGCATAAGAAACATGAGGGCGATATGCTCTTTGCAGAAAACATAGATTACACCAGTAGCTAATTGTATACCAATGTTCACAGATTACATAGATTACATATTTTCAGTTTCAGCGCTCTACATTTTCATAGATTACATAAATCTGTGTGGATACATAGCTAGGCCTAAAACTGATATGGAATTGCTTAAGACCATAACTTTTCAGCATATCTGCTTTTACGATATGTCGACAACCATACGACAACACAACAATTACAGACCAGTGTTTCGGCGCTTTTTGGGCAGAATTTTTCTGGAAAAAAATCGCCAGCATTTCAGCGCTTTTTGGACATTTAGAAAGAAAAAGAAGAAGAAGATGAAGAAGAAGAAGAAGAAGAAGAAGTAGTAGTAAGAAGTACATATACCTGGAGTTTCTCTGAGTTCCAATACCTAAGGAGTTCCTTAAACTGAGAAGCTGGAACATCTTCAGGGATATTTTGCAATCGAGCTTCATCATTGTGATAGGAGTCAAAGTGATCCTTTTTCAATCTACTATTGTGCTTTCTCCATTGAACAAAGCTTGGTAAAAGAAGTTACCCCATGAACATTTAATCAAGTTACCCAACCAAACACATTCTCTGGAGTAAAATATCGTAATTTCTCCAAACGAAGTATCAGAAGCGGTTGGACAAGCTATATTTCTTTTTCATTGAGATTCCAGCGGCCCTTCCAGACTATTATAAAAATATCGATCAGCATCAATGACTCTTGTACCCGGATATTTCATACCTTTCTCACGCACACTAACGTGATATATTCGAAGGCACAACCCTTTGGCCAATTTTGCATTTTTAAAGACGTTGCAAAATCGCCTCTTCTCTTCTGATTACATAGTAGAAACAAGCTTAGCCAAAAGATATGTTCCACTTACAACATCTTGTATTGGTTGAAGCTGCTTTTCGAGTATTCCCATTTTCTCTTTCATCCTAAATCAACAGTATAGCATATTCCTTACGATTAGAGAGTGGGCCAATAGAAATAGCAACTTAGCCATTCTTGTATTGGACTCTCTGCTCACCTATTCTATTTGCTTCAACAAACTCCACTCAAATAGTGACGCTAAGATGACAAGCCGCAAGTAATGTACATATTGAGATTTCTTTCTCACATCACGGCCAGGTTGGATAGCAAGATTCGTATGCCATATTTTCATTTGTTAGTTATGCATCTCAACTATATCCACACGGTAATTCAAAAGAGATGATCTTTCTCTCTCCATGGACCTTGTTATCTCCGAACCTTTATTTGGCCTTCCAAAGACATTCTGGATTCAACACTCTTCGAGCACTTCTGTACCCGATCAAAGGAGGGTGCAAGTCTATGATCCTCTCTTTACCATCAAATGCATTTCTTATCTCTTCG